TTTCAAGATTCTTGACTCTAGATCCAATGTGTTTTCTTTCCAGTGTATTGCACAAAACAGCATATCTCTATGAGGGAAAATTGTGCTCATGTGAGCTTTTTCCCCTCTGTATTGCGATTTTCAGCTTTATGCTGATTTTTAAAGCACGTTGGCTAAAAAATTCCAACTTGTTAATGCTCAATTAAATTTGGCAATAGTTGATTTGGCTTGGTTTCTTTATGCTCAACACGGTCCATTTCGTGTCGGTCTGATGATGGAGCAACGGCGCGTCGTTAGCCCGTGTAAAATTTGGAAGTGCGAGCTGATAAAAAATTGATCGCCCGGCAGAAATTCCGCCGAGGGTGTCGCTTTCGAAGCTTTTGTTTCCGCTCGTCGTGGCGTTTTTGCTAAATTTCGGCGCCGCGCCGAGCCCTGGCGCCCCGCGGTTCTGGCGCCACGCCGCGCGCCCAGCCCGCGGACGAGTTCAACGCGCCTCCGCCACGCCGAGGATTGTTAAACCAGCCAACGTCTTGATAATGAAACTAATGGTTTCTCAGCTGCCAAATTAGCCGTTGGATGATCTTAGGCAGGATATTTGGATAGCGATAAGCCAGCCAGTCATACACACATACAGTACATACCCACATACCGTTCAAAATTAAGGAGTGATCTGGAGGTCTTACATGTGTCACAAATTTGCGATTCAAGAACCGATTCCTACGTTAAGTTTCGCCAGAAAATTCGCTAAAACCGCGATAAATTCATTCTGTTTAGATGAATTTAACTGAAATCAGCCTAACTACATTGGACGTTGCAAAATCTTCTGTAGTGTGCCTTATTTTTACAACGGAAAACTAATACGTAACACTTTATTTTGAAATTGTGTGAGGTTACTTTTGACGATGAAGCACTTGCATGTGTGAGGGATTTGCGAATTAAATACTGATTCCCACGTAAAATGTTGCAAGAAACACGATGGTGTCACTTGTTTTCTTTAAAACCAACTCTAAAGCTGAAAAAAAGCTCTTAAAGTTGAGGCCGTATTGGAGGGAGTATCCCACGCTATCCTGAACTATACCATGTCAATCTATCAATGCAAAGATAAGGTGCAAATACATTAACAGGGTTGCCACTTTGTTTGGGGCTTTAAAATTTGGAAAACACGGCAACCCTGCTAAATGTATTTGCTCCTTATTTTTGAATAGAGAGTTTGACTAGGTATAGAGGTGGACTTTAAAGATAGCGTGGGTCATTCCCTCCATTGCGGCCTCAACTTTTAGAGCTTTTTTTTAGCTTTGGGGTTTATTTCAGGAAAAACTAGTGGCCTCATCGTGTTTCTTGCGAAATTTTACGGGAGACGAAGTACGCAAATCGCAAATCCTCCACTTATGTAAGAGCTCCATCATTGTCCGGGGATTTTAGCAAAATGTGTCAGGGAAAGCAGGGAATTTTATTTTCTAAATTCTGTGGCACCTCGGTTTTATTCTTCCAAGAGAAAACCAACCTATATACCCTTGGAAATTTTTGTGAATGCGTTAGAATGAGTGAACAAAATTAGTATTGAATCGCATGAAAAACTATTGGTTGGTTTTCTTTTAAAAAAATAAAGTTGAGCGAAAATCTACACCGTCGCAGTCGGAGGTACGCTTGTTTCGACTTGAGCCATCGAAAAACACAAACCATTCAACCGCCCCTTTCCTACTTAGCAAAACGAAAACGGCCTCGAAGGAATCGACCACTTCGCGAATGCAAGTACACGTTTTTGCATTGGGGGATCGACCTCTCGGCAGTCTCGGCGTGCTTCCTCGCCGATGGTGAGATTAGCATTTCATTTGAGCCAAATCGGTTTACGGCGAACCTAACACCGGATCACCGATCAGTGGCGTGGCGCGCTTACCGATACATCGATCGATCTGCCATTTAAACCCACGGAAAAGGAGCAATAATCGGGGTGTTCTTTAACAATCGATTATTTACCACAGCTTCAAGTGGAGAAATATCGATAATCGATGATTAACACCTCGCCACTGCGGATCACCCCGGATCGAACAAGACAGCTCGCTGTCCGTAGTTGTTCTTCTTCTCGCCTCCGGTTCTTCTTTTTCTTCTCGCGGTNGGGGGGGGGGGGGGGGGGTTGCATCGGTGTTGCCAACAAAATTACGGCCGAGCTATTTCCCGGTCGCTAATTTAATAACTTCACCGTCGAAAATAATAAATAAGGGATTTGAAAATTAAACGTCTCGTTTTTATAGGGCGACGTCGCGGTCGAGAGTTGAGAGTTTCTCAGTATCGTAAGTCTCTTTTTCTGTCGTGCTGAGTAAAAACGCCGTATGAGCATTCGAATGTTGCCAAATTTATTTCAATAAAATGTTTATTTTCGAAGAAAGTTATGAATACTATCCCTTGAAATTTTCAGACGTTTTGGATAAAATTACGAACGAACCCCTCTGAAAAATTGGAGAAAGAATACTCACAAATTTTCCTGAAAATTCATGATTTGTCGAATGAAATTTGGCAACGCCTGATGGCTGATACGACGTTCTTCAATAAGCACGGCGGATTTGTGAGCCTCAATTTGAAAAGGTCTCTAGACGGTCCGGGCACTCAGGCGACAATTTTTAATGCATGTTTTGCCTCGCCCTGGCTTTAAAAAATATAATAATCTATAAATAAAAAAGAATGTATTAAAGCATAAAAATGTCAATTGTTAGCCTAATTTTATTTGACAAGAAGTGCAAGTTAAAAAAGGTCATATAGATTATTTCTTACAATCAATTATTTTACTAATAACTTATCATTCCATGGCTCTCCTCTGACAACTAAGCAAATCATGACAAAAGATGCTCCTATAATCTATGGAAATTCCTAAAAAATCCTGAGACAAATCACATGTACTGCTGCTAATTAACACTCACTCCGGAAGGTTTCGTACAAATTGTGCAGTTATTTTGTCCTGATTATTGGTGCTCATCCGTTAAAAAAGGACTTAATTTATCCCCAAACTCTACTAAATTTTTCAACGAGGAACCGTTTCTTTCTCAGTTTAAAGCAGATATGTGGTTGTATAGATGAGTTAGATTTGGGCCGCGTTAAGCAGAAAGGAACCAAGCTACATATACGCTATTGCGTAATTGAACTGGGCTATTAAATTTTTTTCAAGAGAACGTTTGTGCGGATTTCTTTGAAAATTTTATGGGATTTGCTACGTTTTGTGCAGAAAATTCATTGAAATTTGCACAAGAATCTGCAAAACCGTTTGCATTTAAAAAATTAAATTCCCCAATTCAATTTGTCAATGGCTGATGTGGCTGGGTTCTTTTCCCCGCAACGCGGTCCAAATAGCAGGTCCGAATCGCAACATGTAGTCCAACTGTAGTGCATTATGTATTTACCTTCGGAAAAGAAACTAAAATTGAAGAGCATAGCTTATTCTGCCGTGATAGCGAAGAGAGCAGTAAGTGCATTTCTGTGAGCCATGGTTAGCACATGCTTTTAAGTATCTCGAGGTTCATTCCAGTATGCATTTACTGTTTTTCACGCTATCACGGGAGTATTGGTTACCCGATGCGAGGCTGAGGTTGGCGCTCGGAGCTTAATCTAGACTATTAAAAATAAAAATAATGCAATCGGGTGGTTTCGCCGGAGATAGTGAGTTTTTTGCTGCCGGCCAGCGTAGTAATCAGCTAAGCAGCCACCCGGTCGTCGGAGCTTTCATTCATCGTTTCGATATTGAATATGCATCTCGGTGGGCATTCAATCAGCAGTCAATTGTCCGGTTTGGATTTTTTGTTCTGCGTTTCTTTCATCTCTCGTTTCATTCATGCTTTTTTCTCAACGCATACCTTTACAGACGTTTAATCTCTGTGGCTTGCAGCTCATTCTCTTACGCAATCGAAGCGAATGAGGGCAAACGAGCGATTACATGTTAGCAAACAAGGAAACGAACTAAGTAAATGGTTTATTTATTCGAGTAGAATCTCTAAATTACGATATTTTTCCTTGGATTAGTCAGCTTTGGAATTTTCGTGTTTCCTTCGTTTTGTAACCTGAGTTTCAGATTGCGTCGAAAGGTAGCACATGCAGTTTTGATTTCGTGCCTGAAATTTTTGGGGAATTACATGCCACGGATCAGAAAGGATCCATCTACCAAGATAATCATGAACGGCTTAGAAATCTGGCGAGAGGGGAGATATTGTAAAAATCTACAGAACATGAGCATATGGACCCCCTGATGACTTGGGTTTGACGACCAGCTCCAAAGAGCTTGCTGAAAATGCTGTATTGCGCAATTCATCGGCCATTTGCGGCCTTCCTAGTGCACGTACGGCAAAACTAACCAAGTTTTATTTTCGGAAGGACCATAATTTGATAATGCCTTCCGGAATTTGGCGTATCAATTGCTCTATTTTCTCTATATTAAAGCTTGCGCCTTTTAAAATTGTTTATAAGACAAACGGTACCATATCTCTACCCTACTTAGCGTAGGCTCAAATTTCAAAAATAAACGACACACTGAAAGAAAAAATCCGGCCCTGGAAGCCGTATACTCACGGGCTGTATAGACGTACCGTCCAGCGCGTTATGGCCCCAGAGGTCGAAAGCCCTTAGTGAAGGACCCGAAGCAGTCGGAGCTACGGCTTCAGCACCCGGAACTCTCGGCCTCCGATTGTGAGCCTGGAACGTGGACGATATGACTATAAAGCTTGCACTGGAAAAAAACACACATTGGATCTAGAGTCCAGACTCTTGAAAACATTGACAAGATAAAATACTCTTGATTCAATCAGATTTAAGCTTAAATCAAAAGGAAATCCGCTCAAATTAAGAGGCTTGGTTCTTGATTTAAGCTTAAATCTGATTGAATCAAGAGTATTTTTTCTTGTCGATGTTTTTAAGAGTCTGGACTCTAGATCCAATGTGTTTTTTTTTTCCCAGTGTGTAACTTTTTTTTAGTGCACCCTAACACGGGAGTCCCATCGGTGTAGCCCAGTCTGCAGCGCCCCTTTTGCCGCGTGTTTCAGGATCCTGCAAGTACAACGCGGACCTCCTCAAGTTCCTCGAGCACGAAGCGGAGCTGCGCGCCCTCGCGGCCTCGCTGAACGGGCGCCGCGCCCTCCGCGATGACACCGCCTTCCGCGACCTCCACGACGAGGCCCCCCTCCCCCGCCCGCGACCCGCCCCCACCCCCGCCGTCGGGATAGGCAGCCCCTGCTGGAGCCCCCTCAGCTACATCTGCGCCCTCGTGCCGGACCAACCGCCCGCGACCCCGTCGCCGAGCACCCCCAACAACCTCTTCGTCTACCGCCAGGAGGCGTCCTTCTTCAAGTCGGAGTGCGCGAAGACGCCCCCGGCCAAGCCGACTGCGGCCGCCTCCGCGGAGAAGTGCAAGCCGGAGGAGAAGACGGTCTCGGCGGTGTGCCCCCCGTGTCCCCCCTCGGCCTCCTCCAGCGAGTCGTCGGTGGAGAGTGGCTCGTGCTCCGAGGATAATTGGTACGACGTCAACAACTGCACCTGGGAGGAGTGGGAGGACTACTGCTGCGGAAGATCGCATCCCAAGAGCCAGCCGTGTCCCACCGGTGGTAAATCCCTATTTTTTCGTATAGTTGGATTTCATTTTGCAATTCGGAACTATAACTTCCGACCCATCTGTAAAAGCACTTATCTGGATAGAGAAACTAATGGTACATACGATGGTTTTAAACTGAGGCACAATTTATAGTTCCTAATTGCAAAATGTAGTCCAGTGAATGATAAGGAGAGTCGGGCATCCTGTCCCCGGGACTGTTAAATGGTTCATTTTACATGTACCTTTTTCCAAACTCTACTGGGTCTTTTTTTAATTTTCTTCTTCTTTTTTCCCCTTTTTTCCTAATACCACTTTGAAAACTTTAACACGGGGTTTTTTGTTTAATTAGAAAATTCAATTTCTGGCAAATTCTCTTTATAAGAATGAAAAATTCGATGACATTGGCATTCCAAGAAGCCTGAAAATTTTTAAATATATATTTTTGGAGTCTCATGTTCAAGAATGTAGAAAAATGTGAGGAATCAGACATATTATTTTATTTTTTTTTTTTTTTTAAATCCTAGAACCTGAGAAAAGGTACATGTGGGGTGGGAAAAAAACGATGTCCGACTCAACTCAAAGATTTTGAGTTGTATCGAGTTTGAGTGTGAGACACTCAATCCCTTAAGTCTGGCTCACATTTTGGGGAGGTCTTTTATTCTGAGGTAACCTAATTCCTTGTCTCAAAGATGAGGGAACGTAACTTCATTCTAACATCGCAAAATTTCCATTCGCAAATTGCTCTCTCACTGTAAAACTGTTCAGTATTTCTCCCGAAAAATTTTACCTATTTTTTCCCAGATTACGCGCAAAACACTACCCGCCAGGAAGCATCGCCTGAGAGTCCTAAGTTCCCTTCGCGGTGTACTTTTTTTCAACAAGAAATGATGTTCAGTCATAGCGAGATCATCTCAAAAATAGATAACACTTACTGTAACGGAGCGTTTGACTCTTTTCGAGTCCATTGTCCCGTGGAGGGAAGGGGTAGGGATGAAAAAGCGTCGCGTCTGCCAGCTATGAAGACTGCAGTTGTTGCGGTGTTGTTTGAACCCGGCGTTGCCATTTTGCTGTTAAAAATTTTCTAATTTTACGAGGAAAATACTTTTGAGGAAGTGAAGCGGTTGCCCTGTTCGCTGTTCCTAAATTTTTCGTCATCTGAGCGAATTAGGAGAGCAAACTTCTTTTGTGTAGAATCATATTTCCGCCTGCGCAAAAGGGATTCACTCAAAAAGGAACTTCTTAAAAACCTTTTTTTACCGAGATTCACAAGAAAATGGGTAACCAAGGCTAAAAAACAACAAAATTTAAGGCCTTCGACTTTTCGGGGTGGTTTCAACCCCTCCCCAACCAGGAAACAAAAACATATGAAAAGTTGGGATTCACTTAAAAAATAACTTCTAAAGAACCTTCTTTTTTTTACCAAGAAACACCAAAAAAAGGTAACTGAGGCTGAAAAACAACAAAACCTAAAGCCTTCGACGTTTCGGGGTGGTTTCAACCCCCTCCCCGACCAGGGAACAAGAATGTACAAAAAATTATACAAATCAAAATACGTAGACCCCCATTTGGTGAAACATGACCATCGTAATCTTTTTTTATATATCTTTCTCCAACTGGCACCCATGTTGAACCCGGGCCGCTGGACAAAGCCAAGAGCTTTTTCGAAGTTGGCAGTCCCTTCGTCTGTCCGAAAATAAGAGCGAAACGAGAGAGAAGTCGCAGAAGGGACACGAGCCAGCGAGGCGATGCCCATCGGTTTCAGCGTCCGAACAGGTGCGCCCGATCGTTGCCAGATCACCGTGTTTCCTCCTTTAAACATCACGAAGAAGTAATAATTTTCCATGCGAATTGGCAAGCGTGGTGCTTTCATGCCTGGTTTGATTCTTGCCGCCGCAACATCTTCATCGTAGTTTTGACCGGAGATTGTATTCTTTTGACCTCTTAGCCGCGAGCTGTCGGGAGCCGTTGGAAAACTTCCATGAGAATAGAGAGTCGGGAGTAACGTCTCGTGACATCTTGATCCGAGGTGTTTTAACTCTTCCAGTCAGAGCTCAGTTCAAGCTCAAAAAAAGAACTGCGGGCCGATTATTGAAACTTGTTGACAAAGCTATAGACAAATACGACAAAAGGGATTTGGAAGGATCCTATTGGTGGAAGCAGGTGGTGGCAATGGACATAGGAGGTAGGTAATAGACTAACTAACGGCAACCCACTGAAGGCCCGACAGTTAGTTCATCATTTTCTTCCTTAGTTTATAAGAACCAACCATGTCAACCAATAGGATCGCTCCATACTTCCTATGTCTTCTTTGTCAATCGCTTTGTCAATCAGTTTCAATAATCGGCCCGCTGTCTTTTTCCAATCATTGATAGAAACATCTATCTGCATCGGGAAATTGAAGTACATTTTGCAATGGACCCCTAAACAAAGTCTATTTTTCGATGCATGTTTTCTGGTCTACCTTTCAAATTGAAGGCAAAGCAGGAAAGTGTGCAGGGCACCTTCAATCTGGCATGCTCTCACATTTTCAATGGATCACTGGACAAGCTACAAAGTTAAGCACTTTGATACATGTTTCTTTACCAAAATGTCACGTAGAATACGATTCACGCGACGAAAATTACTGAAATTATCTCCGTACTAAGATTTTTAATGTTTCCTGACGCGTGAATTCAAACCTGCCGCTCATGAAAACACAATGGTCTACGTGAGTCAAATCACTGAACGTTACACGGTGGTAGTCTCTGCGATACGGAAACATGGCAACCTCAATCTTGACGCTTTGGCTCAGCTTTAGCAAGTTGTTTACGCTTTGAAAAACACGTGATGACGAAGGAACATTGTCCGATTGAGAATCCTGCTCCACGTGAAAAATCGTGTTCTACGTGAAATTTTGGTTAAGAAACACGTATTAGAATGCTTAAAGTCGTACACTGACGAAAAAACTCCGGTCGTAGAAGCCGTAGTTACCGGCTGTATAGACGTACCGTCCACGTTCCGAGCTTAGAGGCTGAAAGCTCCGGTCGCAGCACCCGGAGCACTCTAAGCTACAGTTCCAGCACCCGGAACTTCCAGCCTCTGATCCTGGAATGGACAGTATTTCTATATAGTACGTAAGTTTTTCCTCCGTGCACCTAGTCTAGTGTTCCATTCTGCTCTCTGTGCATTTTCAGTGAGAAAATTTTTTCGATCACCAGCATGAGGATATTACAGTCTCACCTCAAAGCTGACATGTCCAAGTCGTGACGACTCGAAAAAATTTGAAAATCTGGCAAATTTCCCGCCTGACGCGACACCAACGGGTGTACTACGATTTGGCAGAGGACCCGAGCTATTTCAGACTGTCTGTCTGCGTAGCTCGTCCTCGGCGGCGTTGTCGTTTCGCACGGTTTAAAGGGCGTTTTCCCCGGGCGGAGCTTCCTGGACGCGCAACAGGGGCTCTCGTATCTAATCCGCGGGTAAGCTGCGGATGCCGGACCGTGTGTCGAATGCCGCTGCCGCCGGGGCCCGAGAGATATCGCGCTCTGTTGGCGTGTTGACAATCGCGGCTCCCAGCAGTCTCGGCCGATTGCCCCGCGCCGCGCTTTGCCGGGTGGGCGGATAATTCCGCCATTCTGCCGGCAGGCACCCGGGGAGAGATGTTGTGGCACGTGTGAGGAGGGTTGGAAGTTAGAAGCCAAGTCGGGGGATCGCTGGAAACTGGGGACGTCGCAGAAAATCTAGGAAGGGTTGTTACAGTCAGGAAATATTGAGAAAACTGAGAAAGGTCAGGGAATTATGAAGTCAGGGAAAACCTGAAAATGGGGAAATGACGAAAAATCAGGAAAAAGCTAGGGAGGGTTGCCACAATCAGGAAATATTCTGAAAACTGTGAAGTGACAGGGAATTATGAAAAGTCAGGGAAAATGACGAAAATGTCAGGGAAAAGGCAGGGTTGCCACAATCAAGAAATATTTGGAAAACTGGGAAATGTCAGGGAATTTTAGGAAGTCAAGGAAAACCTGCAAATGTCAGAGAAAAGCTAGGCAGGGTCCTATCTAAAAATCTAGAATCTCTCTAAAATATTCAGAGAAACATTACAGACTGGAACGGTTATTAAATCACTAAAACTAAGGAATTATGGGAAAGGTTTAGAAAATAACTTAAAACTGTGAAAGTCCAAGAATCGTGAAAACTGGGAGAGTTAAGGGAAAGTCGTGGAATCACCAAAATTCACGAAAGACTTAGAAAAGCCAGGAGAAAGACAGGGAATGCAATAAACGGAGAAAGCCATTGAAAAGCCGGAGATTTGAGGGAAACTGAGCAATCTAGACACTGTTCAAGGGAACGTCGAAAACTGGGAAAATTGAACAAAATTCAGGAAGTAATTTAAAGCTGGGAAAAGTCAGGATATCAGTAAAACTTTAGAAATTCAAGTGGGGATCACACGAAAAATGGGGCACTCATGCAACCGATTGAGAGTAAGTCAGGGAAATTTTCGGGAAATTGGACCGTGGTCAGAAAATTTGCCATGTGGAGTGTCGCATCGAGAAAAGCTCTGTGTTATTCTCGCTCACATCCAAGATCTTCTTCCCAGGGGCCGAATTTTGTCGGGTTTTTCACACGGAGTGCAGCAACAGCCATCGATGAGTTCAAACTGCACCACCGGCCAATGAGACGCGCTAAGCCGGACTTAAGTGCAGTCGAGACCCGTCCTAAGTATATTTAAGTACGGTGGCAGGACCGACAAAATTCGGCCCCTGATCGCGAAATATTCGCGATTTCGGTCGGAAAGCCGGCAACTGCGCGTCGGTAGCCGCGGTGTAATTGCCTTAAATGTATGTTTAAGCCTCGGCGCGCGCTCATTGATTGATATTTAACGTCTCTTGAACCCTGTCGCTCGGCTCTCGGCCGCCGAAAAATTCCCGCCGTCTATTTCTGTCACCCGGCCCGCTCTCCTCCGTTCCCATCGCGTCTCCCATCTTCGTGGACCCGTGTCCCGTGTCTTCCTCCGTCCCCGGCAACGTTGCCATGTTTTGCCGAAGACGGGGCCATTTAAGGGGGTTTATACGCGGAAAATGCTGAATTTATAGCACTATCTGGCAACAATGGTCCCCGGGCACCTCTCCCATCTCCGCGGACCCATGTCCCGTGCCATCCTCCGTCCCCGGCAACGATGTCATGTTTTCCCGAAGATGTGGCTATTTCAAGGGGCTGTATGCGGGAAATGCCGAATTTGTTGCACTATCAGGCAACAACGGTCCCCGGGCACCTTCCCGAGGTGTGACGACGGAGCAGCGACAACCGTGACGTCATTCGACGGCTCCAACCCGGCTCCAAAATAAACACGGCACCGAGCCGGGAAACAGGGTGCTGAAAACTCGAAACTCGAAAGCTATCCCTTAAGTTTGGTGTCGTAAAACGAGATACGGTGGAATATCTGTCAAAATCGGTGTCACACCCAGGGTTTGAAGTTACGTCTCATTCAGAGCAACTTGTGTGAACGCGTTTGGAGCTTGAGCCTCGTGGCTGCAAATCGAAGGAAATAACCTGTAGACCTATCTCCAATCATTGGAATAAATGGTATCTTTATCAGAGGAGAAATTGAATTTTAACAACATAGATTCTCATCACAACCTTGCCGAAAATTTGACTGCGCCAAGAAAAAATGATCTATCTGCTTTGTGGTACAATACGCGAACGCCAGTTATCCGCTGATTGTGAGAGATCTCTATTACTTCGCTCTTATTGATAATCACACCTTAGATAGGTCTCTTTTCGTCATTTTCCTCACGAAAAGCGTAACTATATTTCAATGTCGGCAAATTGCCCTTGTTGGAAAACAGCATTTTACAAGGAGAATCTTGGCTTGGGCCTTCTTAACTGAAAATTTCCCTGATTTTTCCTCTGATCTCATGCGAAAACCATGAAATATTTCGGGACAAAAATTGCATTGGTACAGTTTCGTAGAAAATTGAAAATTTCAAGTAAATTTTGCAAAGTTGGAATAGAGTTGCGTTCCTTCGTCAAGGAAACGACGTTTCGTCTAACGTCGTTCAGCAGTACTGCCGTGCTGAGGAAGAACGCCGGATGAACATTCAAGAATTGCCAAATTTCCCCGGATAAAACATGTATTTTTGACGATATCTATGTATGCTATTCCTCAAATTTTTCAGTTATTTCGGATTAAATTGCGTACAAAATAGTCTCAAAAATCGGAAGAAAAATATTTACACCAATAAATTCATATCTTATCAGAGGAGATATGGCAACGTCTGGAGGTTCATACGGCGTTCTTCCATAGCACGGTAGAGTAAGTAAGGTAAACGAATCAGGTGCCCCTCCATGCCCTCTGCGTCTGTTCTAGCCCCGCGCAAATTCTGGAACCGGCTGAAAGCCATCAAGCTGAAGCCCTGCCGGAAGCGGAAGCGCCCGAAGGACTGCCGGCGGACGAAGCTCAAGTGGTGCCCGTTCAAGATCCTCGAGACGATCACCCCGAAACCGGGCTCCTGCGCGCGGCTCCGCGACTGCCAGCCGAGCATCGCCACCATCGACATGAGCCTCCAGAAGCGTCCCGCCCGGAGCAACCCGTGCGTCCCCTGCCAGGGCCCGCCGCCCAAGGAGCCCTCCCCCTGCTCTTCCTCCTCCAGCACCTCCAGCGAGGACTCCTGGTGCAAGCTCTACCTCGAGAACCGCAAGAACTGGAAGAGGGAATGCAAAGAGCGTAAAGAGTGCAAGAAACCGCACAGAAGCCGGGATCGTAGTCGCTGTGAGCGTGGTAGGAAGTGGGAGTGTAGTCCCCAGCCGTGTCCACAGCCGTGTTCAACCCGCAGCCGGCTCCGTGATAAAGCCCGCCAGCTCCAACAGTTATCCCAATCTAAGATTCTGTCCCGGTTTAATCTCCCCGATTGTTGTCCACAACCGTGCCCACAGCCATGTCCCAGCCGGCCTGAAGTCACTCGCAGCCAGCATAGCCAACCCTGCGTCCATGCCCAATCGACAACGGACTGCGGCGCTGTCCGGAGGTCCTCGCGAGACGAAGACTCGCTCTTCTTGATGTCGCTGCTGCCATGCTTCAAGAAGATGGACCACGATAGGAAGATGGTGCTCCGCTGCAAGGTCCAGAACCTTGTTGTGCGGGAAACGCTAAGCCCGAGTATGACGCAACTGGCGGCGGCCAAGCGCTCCCAGACCAAGTACGAGGAACGCCCTAGTCCGCCCACGAAGCGGTGTCGTAGCGAGGAACAGCGCCGCTGGAGTCGGGAGTATCCCAAGAGTGACGTGGGGTACGATCCAAGGTACGAAGAGCGCTCGATCAGGAGACAGGAGTCGGACGAGAGCTACGAGCGGCGGTACCCAAGACGACGACACTCGTACGACAGGTGCGAGCCACGGCAGCGCGAGGACCGGTACCAGGTGTTGCTGAAGAAGGAATCGAACGAGAGTTGCCCCGTGCAGAGGTACAAGATCGGACACAGCCGGGAGGCGAAGTCTCCGGAGGATCGGAAGGACGACCTCCGGTGGGATAGTTGCAACGTGACCGAGCAGTTGAACAAGCACGTCGACGAGATGATGAAAGATCGGGACCCGGACAGTCCGGAGCGGGTGCGCCACCAGAGGCAAGTGAAGCAGGAGCCGGCGTCCGTGCCGCCACCGCGGAAGACCTCCGCGCCGAAGGAGGTTAAGAAGGAGCCGGTTGAGAAGTGCCCCGAAGAGGCGAAGAGCCCGAAGAGGTCGCCGATCAAGGAGAAGCCCCCCGAACCGAAGCGGGAGAGGTCGGGTACTGATATAGGGGTGCGACGCCAGTACATGCGCCAGGAGGTCTACGGGTCGTACGGAGCACCGCCCGGGTATTCTACCGGGAGCTCCACCTCCGGGGAGTACTGTGTCCCTGAACTTCTGCACACCTGTTCTTTGAGCCGCGTGCCGAACAAGCCCAAATGAACTCACTTGAAGGCGGTTGATTCATCCTCTTTTCGTTCTTTGAGGGAGCGCCGGATACGTGCCAGAGGTGCGATCAGATGAAGACACCTGGAGGAATGAATTCAAAGAAGAAAAGCGTAGATCTTCGTGGATGTAATAACGCCACTCAAGGAGACTTCGTAAAGACGTGGTTCACTCATTTCTCTTCGGACCCTAGGTGCAGATCTGCAATGTGAGGCACTCGAGGATATCGGACGACAAGCACAAGGCATAATCCCGAAGACCCCTAAGAACCAAAGTGACAGTATTTAAGGTATCCTAAAGATGTCCACCCCATGACCCCATGTTCCTTACACAATGTCAAGCTAAGCTTTTCAGACCATGATGACCGTTGTTCGCCGTAAGGTAAATTCATCCCACTTTTTCCCTCCCGTAAGTTAGTGGACCGCGTTAAGCAGGAAGGAACCAAGCCATTCTAGCTGTTGCCAAATTTTATCGGGCAGTTTAATTTATAATATGGAAACGGCTGTGCGGTTTCTTGTGCTAATTTCAATGAATTTTCTGCAAAGTACGAAGCAAATTCCCTAAAATTTTCAAAGGAATTCGCATAAACGTTCTCTTATCAAAAATTTAATAGCCCAGCTCAATTAGGCAATATCGTATGTAACTTGGCTCCTTTCTGCTAAACGTGCGGTCCTAGTATCGTAGTATTCGTCTTTCGTTGGTTTCAGAATAAAATGAGTTGACTGAATCAGATATCTGCGTGTCTCAAGTAAAGCATCACATAACGATTTAGATGCATCCCTTGAGGATGAACAGCATCATTGACACAATCCATTTTCGAGTCGATTGACATCTCACATTTTTATTTTTTTCAATTTTTTACAACATTCCGCGGGAATTCGTTGTAAAATGTATGCACATCTCCTTGAACTTCCTCTAAAAGTAAATCTAAGCGTAGTCAGTTGATTAGGCGTTCGTATCCTCGAAGTGATATCCTTGCTGATTCGTCATTTCATTTGAAAACGTGAGATGAGTGGGTCGTCAAAAACGTACATGGACAGAATTAGCAAAACGCGTGAACCTCACGTGTATGTCTTTTGTTTTGTCCTGGGCGCTGGCGCCTTTCTTTCGTCACGTAAAACCATCAAGTTAGCTTTTCATTGCAGTGTTTTTTTTTACACGTATTTTCTTCCTTTACTATGCAGGAAACTCTCACGTAATCTTTGATTATTGACTCCTTGAATGAGCCATGTGACATGGCCCCCCAGTTTTATGACACCGCAGATGAGATAAGAGTAAGAAACTTCAATGCAATCAGTCCCGTTGACTCGTGACTAATGCGCTCTGCGTTGAGGCTCGATTCCAGAACTTGGAACAACGCAACTTGTGCCCGACGAGTCAGCAACGATAAGAGAGAACTTCAAAACTCTGTCTGGTATTTTCAATCGGGCCAAACTCTCTGTTTTGCTGTTCATTAGCGATTAGTCAGCAAAGCTGGGGTTGCCTCAGCGATATTCAAGCTCAAGTTGTGTGGCTCCAGTTCAGCTGCAGAGTAACACGCGTCTTGTTTTCTTTTGCAAAATGAAGAGTGAAGCTGTCGGAAAGCTTGATTCTGCCCACGAGGGCCAGAATCCTAATTTTAAAAAATTAATTTTTCAATTTTCATGACTCAGTGCGACATTTTTGGACTTTTCCAAGTTCCTGAATTTGTGAGTTTTCTTTCTCGCAGACTCAACACTGGAGAAAATAAGTTTTTTTTTATCCAAAGTCCAGACTCTTAAAATCAGGGTTGCCATAATCAGGAAAACCGGGGAATGTCAGGGAATTTCAAAAAATCAGGGAAAACCTGGAAATGTCAGGGAAAATGACGAAAAAGTCAGGGATAAATCGTTAGGTCACCTTTATTTGCTTTCTCGAGTGGGTTTGATGTTTCGACCAACAAATTTTGCCTGAAAACTATTTCTAACTATGTCTTTTTAACAATCGGGCATTATTGCAGCTGCCAGGGAAATCCACTAAAATGTGGAAGGGAAATGCCAGGGAATTTAATTTTATAATTTCTGTGGAAACCTTGTTAAAATCTTTGACTAGAAAAAATACTCCTGATTCAATCGGAATTTTACTCGACTCAAGAGGAAATCCGCTTAAATTAAGAGGCTCGGCCCTCGATTTTAGCAAAAATCAGATAGAATCAAGAATATTTTTTCTCGTCAAATCTTTAAGAGTCTGGGCTCTAGATCCGTAGACTTTTTTACAGTGAACTCAGCTTCGATATTTCTCGAAAGAAACAGCGGTGCGAAGTGTTCGAATCACGAAGATAATGCGAACGATATCGGGGTGCATTGTGCTGACCCGGCTGCGGTCTGCTATGAAATCCGATAGCCGAGGGAGTATTGAAGCTCTGGATAACAAAGATGGGGGCGGTG